ATTTTTAACGGAAATTTCCGGCCGTTCCAACGCGTGCTTGTAGGAGTTTGACCAGAATTCTTTGAATACTGAACGACATATTGGATATTCCTACCCTTTTGACTCATATCTTTGAGGGACAGAATATTCTCTGTAAGTGCCTACTGCTACTCTCACTTCTCTCTGCACTCTTATCAATATTCATATGACACTCCCCTTACACAGATGATACCACGGTGAGCGCTGCTGTGATAAGGCTTTTTTTTCATGACGGATTTCTTGTCAAGTCAATACCCTGAATCTTCCCCGTGGATTGCCATGGCTGCAGTAAACTTTCGAAGTCAGGCTGTGCCCCGGACATTTCCCATCCCCTACCGTCGTTATTTCGGGCTACAACCCGCCTGTAGATGACGAGCTATGACGGCTGACCTTGTCAGGTGCTCTGCTACTCTTGCTGCGAAGGTGCGAATCATCCGCGCTGTCCGCTGAGGGTATGCAGGATATTTGACATGATTTCCACCAGGATGGCGACGCCGACGTTCTATGGCTGCGCGAAGTGACGACCCAATGTCAACTGTGGGACGAAAGAATCCTAGTCCCGTCGTCTTTGACGCAGCTAGGCTGCAAGTATGACTACCTCCCTGCCGTTACAGAGCCCTATATTAGTCGGGCCTGCTGCTAGCAGGGTACTTGATTTCGTCTTGTCCTACATCCAGGGCAATGACCGGGCTCTCGCTCGTGCCGTTCATGTACGTCCTCGGATCCTCTGCATCGCCCACGTTGTCGGGCCGCTCCGCAATACCATTTTCACCGGGATTCGACATCTCAGCGGTCCTTTCCCTCGCGGTCTCTCTGCCCTCACACTCATGGGAATTCGGCACGGCGTCAGAAGCTCTCCTTGAACTTTACGATGCCCCTTACTCTGTTTATGGCGAGAAGCCCTTTCCGATACCTTGGCTGTCGCCCTCTCCCCATTCTCGAGTCTACTCGCCGGCGCTGGATTACGCCAAACAAAATATCGTGATTGGGACACCGCCCAATGGACTGAGCGACGGAGACGGGGCGGTGGGAGACCCAGCGAGTTTGGGAGTGGTCGCGCTTCTACTGGGCGTTGGGGATGAGAAATACAGGGTCGCTGCAGAGGAAGAGATAGATTATCTGTTGGAAGGTGCTCCTAGGTGGCATAACGGAGCGGTATCTCATCGTGCAGCATATGCCGAACTTTGGTACGTATTCTCTTTGCCTCAATTTTTTCTCGCGCTGACGCAGTCTATCCGTTGTATCTATTATAGGGCTGATTTTATCTACATGGCACCTCCTTTTCTGGCCTACTACGGCGCTGCGATGTCCAACGCTACCGTCCTCCGAGCAGCCGTTGAACAGTGCCGACTCTACCACCAAGTTCTACTCACCAACACCACTTCCCCAGCCTATTCTCCCGCCAAGCAGCCACAGAGCACCGCGGGTCTCTGGGTGCACATCGTCGGCCCAGAGAACGCTGACCCAGGCCTCTGGTCGACAGGGAACGCCTGGGCCGCTGCTGGGATGATGCGCGTTCTCGCTACGGTGCTCAAGGCGGGCAGTACGCTCTCATCCTCATGGAGACACACGGCCATCGCTGATCTGACTCGGATGATCACTGATATACTCGACGCGGCGATCCGGCTGCAGCCTCAAGTTCAGATCGAGGGTTATGGTGGTGGAGGGAAGGACAAGGGGCTTCTCAGGAACTACCTCGACGACGAGACATGGTTCGGGGAGATATCGGGAAGCACACTCCTAGCGAGTGTTGCGTACCGCTTGGTGTCGACCCCTGGAATATCCTTGTCAAAAAAGGATACCAGACGGTATATTGCGTTTGCGGAGTCCATTCGCTTGCTGTTGGGTGAGAGAGATGCAGAAGGTGAGGGGATGTATGTGAGCAAAAATGGGACCGTGGCTCCTGCTGTGAACCCTCTTGGATGGGGTGATCGGACGCCTTACACAGCTGGCAGTCCGGAAGGTCAGAACTTTGTGGTGCTGATGTACGCTGCGTGGAGAGACTGGAAGCAAAATCAGTGATTCCCGAAGGGTTCAAGAGTCGATTATTATTGTTTTGGGACTTTCTCTTGTCGCTTCGTATTCGACTTTCTTGTTTGTTACAACTTCGTTCGTTTTCTTGTATTTATTCCTTCATTAATTTTTGGGTTCTTTGCATGTGCATTGCGTCCATATGTAGCTCGAGACTCTGCAGGTAAATAAAAAACGAAAATCGGTGCCCAAAAGCCTCAACATGTGTTGCACGGGAAAGTTGGTTAGGACCACTGATGAAAGGTAATAGGAAAGTGAGCGCTAGTGAGCCATTGAGCGACCATCTATCAGTTGTGGCGCGCGCGTCAAAGACCCCGGATTACTAAACTGAGGCAAATTAAAGGAGAGGGTTCGCCTTGATTCGGCTTTCGCATTGCCTTTCTACTTACTCACGACGTCTAGGTTTCCCATTGAAAAAAGTATGTACAGACTTATTTAAAACGATCCAACGGAAACTTCGTAAAAAGTTCCCTTCTCCCCCGAGTGCGCTCAACGCCTTCCACTTGTACTCCTGAGCCTCGTGCCTTCCACGCACAACGTTGCCACCACGACAGTGCTTTTGGATCCGTTAAGGCTATTTATAGCCGTAAATGTGGGCGGGACCAGGCGGGACCCTCTTTTCGGCGACGAGTTCCTTTTCGAGGATGATCGGGGTGTTGTTTTCACCCGCCAAGTGCGCTTAGCCGGAAGATTTTTGGGGTCGTCCGACTCATCGTCGCTGTTCTTCACCTGCTGCGCACAGAAGCGAAGTGTCGACCGGCACACCTCTGCATCATGCACTGGGGGTGTTCATGTTGCCTTGTGTTTAGAGGACGCGTCTGCGGGCTTTTTGTGGGTGGTTTGGGCGTACCGCCCATAACTGACACGAGGCCGGAATTGGCGTCGTTGTGAAACGCGGAAAACATCGTAAAATGACGAATTCATGGCTTGGCGCTCGTTTTCTGGAAACAATGGCGATGACCGCTCCGCCAGTGCCTGCGAAGACTCTCAGATGTGATTTCGACGTTGGGAGTCTGGCAGTGAGGATTTGTCTATTACTTACTGCTTCATGCTGTTGTTTTGGCTACTTCAATCATGATTTAATTGTTCAAGGTGTCCATAGTAGCCCACAAAACGGGATTAGAAATAGGCTTATGGGTGAATGTTCACGATGCCGGTCAAGTTTGACCCTGATGCAGATGGTCGGAACGTCGGCGCCGTCATAAGAAGCGATGTGTGGGCCATCACTCGCCCTTCTTCCCTCTACCACCACCTGCACGGGGCACACGACAGCGTTTCGCACTGCCCTTCGTTTGGACTGATACATACACTGGACGTTCTTTGGTTCTCTGCTACGACTTGTTATCTGTGTCCCGTCTCAAGACTCATACGGGACCATGGTCTCTTCAAATCCCCTTTTTCGTGGCACATGGACAGCCAAAAAGTTTCAGGCAACCGTCATAAACGACATCTGGCCTGAGGTGCTCTTCTTCTCGCTGGTGGCGACGAGTACGTGCCTTCAATTCATGTGTTCTGACTGTATTGTGCTTACCGGCGGCAAGTGGTGGTCTTGGTATCTGAAAACAAATACAACCTTGGCATCGGAAACCCTCTCTTGACTGTGCTTGGTACAGTGCTTGGTCTAGTCATTTCGTTCAGAACATCGTCTGCATACGAACGGTGCGTTTCCTAGCAATCCCTTCTGTTCGCTGGCACTCAATTGATGGTAATAGGTATCAGGATGGGAGGAAGATGTGGACGAACATCATCACTGGCTCACGGAACCTCGCTCAAATGGTGAAAATCTTCCTGATGTCTGATTCAGTCGATATTCAATGCAGTGCAGTTCTGGGTCCACATCCCCGTTGACAGAACAGGCAAAGGAGACGCTGCCAAGAGCACGATGATTCAGAACATCATCGAGAAGAAGTCCATGGTTAATCTCGTTAGTGAACTATCCTCCAACTCGTCAACACCTAACCAATCGTTCATGCCCACATTTAGATTCTGGCGTTTGCAGTATCTGTCAAGGTAACTATTCTCGACGCTGCAACATCATAACACGATGCTAATCAATTCATGCTCGTGTGACCCACTCCATTCTCCAGCACTTCCTTCGTGGGGAACGTGGAGTGTACTACGAGGACCTCTATCCTCTAATCTCCTTCCTGCCTCGCTACGCCAACGGTGCCCATGGTCCGGAGGGCGACAAGCTCCCACTCTGGCACGATGATGACGACGAGAACTACCGTCCCGTTGACACTCCCGCCACCGAGCTCGGCCGCGAGATGTCCCTCTCCCGCGACACGACACACAACGGTGCTTCAGACCCGGAGAAGGCCCTCCCTCTGCCGCTCCCGCGGGTTGCCAGCGATCGCCCACTCAAGCCCGCCCGGAACCCTCCGTCGACGTCTATTTATGATTACATTCCTTTGCTCAGGCTCTTCAAGTGGATTGCAAGAAAGGTGTCACGCCGTGCCCGGTCCAGGCAGAGCGGGCAACGTCCCAGGCGGAAGCGCAATCAGGACCTTGTTGAGAGTCAGATCCCGCTGGAGATTATTCTTGTCCTGTCGAACTACACAGCTGGTCAGTGATGATGCTAGTTCTTTGGAGATATTGCTGACGCTTCTCCCGCGTACAGTCTGTATGAGCCGCGGGCTCCTCCACCCAGCAATTGCCACTGGTGTGACGTTTAATTTGACTCTTCTCCAGGATACCGTCTCCAACCTTGAGCGCATTTGTAACACCCCGTTGCCATTCGCTTATCAGGCTCATCTTCGCATGTCCCTCTGGCTATATCTCCTGTTCCTTCCGGTGTGTACCAGACCTGTCTCTCCGACACGAGGTGCTTACTATTCCTCGTCAGTTCCAGATCTACAACCAAGCGAAGTGGATCACGATCCCCGGTACCGCTTTTGCTTCGTTCTTACTTCTTGGGTTCCTTGAGATTGGTCAGGAAATGTGAGTATTTTCTTGCGTACGGCCAAGAGGAACGAGCAGCTGACTTTGACTGTCTACGCAGAGAAAATCCTTTTAATTACGACTTGAACGACCTTGACCTCGACTACTTCTGTACTGTTGTCCAGCGCGAGCTTCACCTCATCACTGCCGTAAGCAACGTCGCCCTGGTCCTCCATTCTCCTGCTCATTTCGCTCTTCTTTAATAGAACACAACCCCCGACCCGAGCGAGTTCCTTTTCACTGAGCTGTGAGTGTTCTTGCTTCTTCATTAAGGACTCGAGTCTCATTCTCTCTTTAGGAACCAACCGTTTGCACCAGTGGACCGTCGTTCTGCCAAAGAACTCGTCGAAAGCGGGACGGAGTACGTTGCGCCCCACGCTGCGGACAAGACCGAACCTGGTATTGACAGCATCCGCCGCACCCTCGTCAAAGGCTGGAAGGATGTCGACACCCTCACCAGGCGGTAGCCTTTCATTTCTCTTCTTTTTTGAGCATGTTGTCGTTGTCACTTTTTTGTTGGGTTTTTCGTCGCGGTTTGTTGGAACAAAAAGTCATCATCCTGGTTTCTTGTCTTACCAAAAGCATACTATATTCATTCATGGACACGCTCGCTCACTCATAGCATAGAGTATACAACACTCATCCTCCCTTACGATACACACATACGCATAGATGTCAAGCTGTTTTCGATACTGCATTAATTATTGTTGGGCCGCTGGTCGCTACCGCCGAACGATAAGTAGCTGCTGGTGCAATGCCTCAGTTTACTATACATTCTTTTTTGGGCTTACACATAAACGAAATACCTTTTCAGCCTCGTTGGGACACCGTTCCTGCGAAGTGAGTGGCAGTCAACCAGATCAGAGCTTATTGGACGTTCGAGTAATGATTGATGCCTTGGTCTTCTGCGAGAGAGCGTAAACCCATTCGTGGGCCATTTGCACAAGTGCTATGCCGTTTCTCCCTTTCTCTAGGAACGTGATAAGTATTTGACAAGAACTAGTGTTATTATACTACTCATTCAGGCGGACATACATATATCTGGTACCTTCTACGTTCTACAAGGATGAAGTTGAGCACGCCGGCCTTGCGGTCCGGAGTATCGATAGTCAGCTACTCAATGATCTCATTTTGTTCAATCTCTCCCACCACAAATGCTGCAATTTTGGAGAGTCATCGGGTCCCGTCCTGCCTCGTCATCCAACTCTCAGCTCGGATATGCCACCAAGAATTCTCATGAAGAACTTCATAGATACTGGTAATCGTTCAACGCACTGAGTCACCTCGAGGAGCTTCTTAACGGTACACCCCACCTTTCCCAGAGAACAATAGTCTTATCTGCTCCGAATAGAAGCCGGTCGATAATCCGCCGTGTATTGCAAAGATCGGCAGCCACTGCTGACTTTCCTAGAAATCAGAAGCCGTATCTCACTAGGTGACGTCTGCTCGACGGCATTGCCGTGGAAGCCTCGTCATCGGCGAGTATGCGACGATTACTCATAAGATTTCCAGAGGCCACATATAAACCCCCCAGGTCTTGAGGATCTCCAACAGCTGTCTTCCCCACTTCGTTCGCAGCCTAAGCCCTTCCCAGCAAGCTTTAACGAGAAAATGTCTTTCTTCACCCCTCCTCCTGCACCCAAGAGCAAGCTCGGTGTCTACCGCCTCTTGTCCCCCACCGCGGGCGTTCACGTTTCCCCAATTCAGTTGGGAGCCATGAATATCGGCGACAAGTGGGAGGAAATCGGCATGGGTAGCATGGACAAAGAGACGAGCTTCAAACTCCTCGACGCGTACTACGACAATGGAGGCAACTTCATCGACACTGCCAACAACTAGTAAGTGACGTTTGGTTCGTAATGGCTGATTCTAACTGCTGGCACAACCCTCGCAGTCAAGATGAAACCTCTGAGCAGTTTATCGGAGAGTGGGCCGAGGCTCGTGGCATCCGTGACCAATTGTTCATCGCAACCAAGGTTCGTCCGGCACTACTCCGCTGTTTCTCTTTTTACATAGTTGCTAACTTCTATCTAGTACACGTCGAATTTCAAGAGACGCAACACCGATATTCCCCAAAAAATATTCTATGCCGGCAACAGTGCAAAGTCCCTCCACATTTCCGTCGATGCTTCGCTCAAGAAGCTTCGAACGACCTATATCGACCTTCTCTACGTCCACTGGTGGGACTGGGATACAAGCATCGAGGAAGTCATGAGGGCTCTTCACACCTTCGTCCTCCAAGGCAAAGTCCTTTATCTGGTCAGTTGCTCTAATAAATTATGATCGCGTCAATCTCTAAGCTGACATGGATGAATACTAGGGTGTTTCGGATACTCCAGCATGGGTCGTGTCAAGGGCTAATCAGTACGCGCGAGACCATGCCCTGACGCCTTTCGTCATTTATCAAGGTGCATGGAACATCATGGACCGGTCTTTCGAGAGGGATATCATTCCGATGGCCAGAGCTGAAGGTAAATACCTAACACTCCTTTTCACGATCTATTCAAGATATCTTACCACTGCTCTTATTTGCCAGGGCTGGCACTTGCCCCATGGAACGTACTCGCAGCAGGCAAATTCCGAACAGACGAAGAGGAAGAGAGGCGCCGTCAAACCGGCGAGAAAGGACGCACGATATTCGGCCCTGAGTGGGAGAGGACAGAGCAGGAGAAGAAAGTCTGCAAAGCTCTTGAGAAGGTCGCTGGCGAGGTCGGGGCGAAACACATTACTTCAGGTCGGCCATCCGAAGTTCGCAGAAAGTCTATATTTACTCACTCAGATACCAACCTTTAGTCGCTATTGCGTATGTGATGCAAAAGACGACATACGTCTTCCCCATTCTCGGTGGCCGTAAAATCGAGCATCTACTCTCGAACTTGGAGGCTTTGAATCTTACCCTGACCAACGAGCAAATCAAATTCCTCGAGGGCGTCGTCGATTTCCAGCCTGGCTTCCCCAACTGGATGATCGTAAGTACAAGCAAGCTACTTGCATCCAACTGATTGGTCTATGTGCTTATTACTTGTTCCTTTCGCTTTCTAGGGAGACGGAACCGACGTCAACCCAATGCTCAAGCTGGCTGCACATATTATTCCCAAGCCAGTCGCCGAGCCTCTGAGACCTACGGGTGGTCAGTAGATAATTTTAGTAAATGGTCGTATGAAAGGATGAAAATATTTCTGTATTACTGTCTTGTGGCGAGTACATCAACTATTTGAACATCTGTCTTTGTGTGCTGCTAAATTGTGTGAAGAAATCGTAACAAAACAATAAAAATTCGGATACGGGGAATCGAACCCCGAGCTGCCGCGGACTCATGAGAGGCGGCAATGTTAGCCGTTACACCATATCCGACATACAACCCTATTTCTTTCCAAGCACCACATGTGCGCGAGAGCATCTCAACAATGTCAATTTGTGGACTTAGGATCTCCTCGATTCCGTCGGACAAACAGTCATTCGGTCGGCTGATTGGAGGACCAACTGTCCCATGATAACTCGGAATCTTGGAGTGGTGTTCTATAGTTGACAACTAAGCACCTGTGGGAGACGAATAGTGTGGCGCACCTTTCACGCGATCAAGTATCTTCTGAACTTGAGCAGTGAAAGTTGAGTGAAAAGCATGTTAATTTTCTGTGACTGGATATTCTTGTATTCTTGGAAATAAACAATCATAGTGTTTTATTGACCGATAGAATCGAAGGAAGGGGATACTTGGATCGGCACAAAGAGCCCGCACCCGCTTATATCTAGCATGCCCTTGCCCAACCTGCCAAAGAACCTTGGATCAGCCGTTCACTTCCATATCCTTCGACCTTGGCCAGAAACCAGACTGCTCGTTCGAATATTCTCTATGCTTCTAGATGAGTCACCCTTCGACAATATATAGGTCAGCGAGCTATCTGGATGTATCCCTTTATCTTATCCTCAACGCCAATGTCTCCGCTCTCCTCTACTCTAGAAGATCCTTGGGGCTCGGTGCTTTCTCCCTTGCCAATCGTGACATCGCATTCAAAGGGCGCGATTCTTAGAACAACAGTTGAGGTGATATATATTCCGTGGTGGGTTATTCATACATGGGGTAGATGGGTAATATCGTACACAATGATGATGATGAAGAAGCTACATAGAAAAAAAGTCGGTGAGTACATTGAAATCCCTTCCGTTAGTCGCCAAATAGATTATTGCTACTGCCCTCGTTCTCCTTCCTCAACAGGTCGTTGAGATGACGAGCTACGTTCCCTGCCCCCTGCCTAACCTTCTCCTTCTCCGCCTCGACAACGCGCGGGAGGGTCTTTGACTCGAAGCGGTCTGGATGCCACCGCCTCATGTGGTCCTTGATACGATCTTTGGGCGTCTTTCCCTTGTCCTTCTCGGGCCACAGAGGAGATTGGAAGTAGGCGGTAATCAGTATAGCTGAGATGTCGTCTGGGGTCTGCGGAGGCTTCATCATGGGCCAGGGGAAGTCCATCCACGTAAGTTCGGGAAGAGTAGGCAGTCGGGCCCACTGTTTCTCGTGGTGCTCGAAGACCCGCTGGATGTCTTCGCGGCCGAGAGGTTTGCCGGCCGATCGTAACTGACGCTCAGCTTCTATCTTCTCTTGTTCACGCCGGAATTTCTCCTGCTGTTCGTTCGTGAATTCAGCATGCCGACGAGCCCAGTCAGCCTCTGAGAGAGGAGTAACGGAATGAGGAGAAGCACCAGCGGGGTAAGTACCCGAGCTGACGGAACCGTTACGAGGTTTCCCGTTGGGGAGAGGGACACTGTTCGAAGATCTGGCCGTCGATGGAGAAGGAATGCTCGTAGGTTTCGAAGACGCAGACCAAGGCGAAGAAGAAGCACCCCAAGGTGAGCTTGCGCTGGCTGGACTATTGAACTGAGGAGGTGATCTTGACACACCAGGAGAAGTGCCAGGTGCGGGCCATCCTCCATCGGTCCCAAAGCTGTCGTTGCGTCGGCGTTCCTCAACACGACGCGCAATATCTTCCGCCTTCTTGCGATACTGCGCCTGCTGCCAAAGGTACGCTTGCTCTTCCCGAATCTTTGGATCGATCTCTTCGATATCTTGGAAATCGAGCGCAGGGGAGTTGTTGCTCTGGCGTCTGGCGTCTTGTTCCTGCCGCCGGGCTTGTTCTTTCCGGGCCTGTTCTTGTCGTTTGGCCTCCTGCTCCTGGCGTTTCGCTTCGGCGTCCCGATCCATCTGATTGCGGACCTCTTGTTCATGACGGAATTTCTCCTCTCGAATCCGTTCTTCTTTAGCCCGCGTCTCCTCCCTTTGTCGTTTGGCGGCGTCTTCTTCCTTCCTCCTGGCCTCTGCCTCCTTGCGTCTCGCCTCGTCAGCTTTCCGCCTCGAGTCTTCCCTCCGCTTCGCCTCCTCCTTCTGGCGGGCCTCTTCCTTCTGCCGTGCCTCCTCCCTCTGCCGTAACTCCTCCTGCGCTCGCTCAGCCTCTTCCTTCAACCTAGCCTCCTCCCTCAAGAGCTCCGCCTCTGCCTCCTTCGCTCTTGCTTCCTCGTCTTTCTTCTTTGCCTCCTCTTCGCGGCGCTTGAGTTCTTCCTCGCGCTGAAACAAAGCTTTCTCCCTCTCCTGAATTTCCTCCTCCAGCTTCCTGAGATTCTCCTGCCTCTTGCGAGCGTCGTCGGCGATACGCCGAGCCTCTGCTTGCAGCTTGCGGGTCCTCTCTGCGTCCTCCTTCAACTTCGCTTCCTTCTGCCTCGTCTGTTCCTCCTTCTTCCTGACTTCCTCCTCTCTCCGTTTCGCCTCCTCGGCCTTCCGCGAAGCCTCAAATTCCAGCCTCTTCGCATCGTCTGCCTTGCGTTTCGCTTCCAGCTCCCTCTTCTTCGCCTCCGTCTCTTTCTTCTTCGCCTCTTCCTCCTTCCTCTTCGCCTCTTCCTCCTTCCTCTGGGCCTCCTCCTCCTTCTTTCTCGCGTCCTCTTCTAACCTCTTAGCCTCCTCCTCCTTCCGCTTGAACTCCTCCTCCTTCCTCCTTACTTCCTCCTCCTTCCTCCTCGACTCCTCCTCCAACCGCTTCTCCTCTTCTCCAAGACGCTTGATCTCGGCCGCTTTCGCCCTGATCTTCTCATCTGCCTCCTTTCTCTCCTGCTCCAGTCTCCGAGCTTGGATATCCAACTCGTCATCCCCGTTGTCTCCGTCGTCCTCGTCCTCGTCTGTCTGCTCGTTGCTAGCAGCTCTGTGAGGTTCGTCGTCTGATTCCGTTTCCGCGGCGTCATCGTCATCACTGTCGTCAGCGTGCGCATCGCGTCTCAGAGCAAGTTGATCTGGTTGCTGGTCGTCCCGCTGGCTGGCGCTGTACGCCGGGCCTGGCCGGTGGCGCTGACGAGCGAAGTGGTCCGCAGCAGCTGGCGAACGAGCTGGGAGGTGCTCACGGCGCAAACCACCCTCCGCAGCCCAGCCTTGCCAACCTGGACCCAAGTCTTCGGCGCTGGGTCCGTGACGCGGAATGGGTACGCTGCTAGACGGAGGAGGACCATATACACGACCAGGATAGGGTTCTATTGGAAACGTCAAGGTGCGATGAGGAAATTAGGCGAGAAAAATATTAATGGAACAAGGACCAACCGATATCTGGAGCCATTCGTCTTTCGGGGTCCTCTCTATAAGAAGGCTGACGACTAGGCAGAGGACGCGCATTATCTGGTCTATCATAGATCCAATCATCAGGAGGATGACCTCGATAGCGGTCGTATCCACGAGGCGGAGGCGGAACGTTGTCGGGCTCGTCGTAAAGATCATTCATTGGGAGGTAGTCGTGTGATGCATGTCTCTGAGCGCTGGAAGGAGGGGTAGGATAACCAGAGCGGGCTGAATATGGAGAATGCCCAGGGTAGCGAGGGTCGACGTAACCTCTATCCCTATCTCTGTCCCTCTCTCTATATCCCCAATCCCTATAACTAGGATGTTCTCGATCACCCTCCCATCGATCACCCTCCCAGGCTGCATTTCGTTCCCAGTCAGGTCGCCTTCTATCTTCATAAGTAAAAGAAGATTTATGGACCATGGGTGGATGGTAATCCCTCTCGCTAGGAAAAGGTGGCTTGGGGATGGGCGGTCTGTTCATAGGAGGGTAGGGTGGGTTGTAATCCCTATCGTCACCTCCATACGGAGATCTCGGAGGTGGTGGACGCGAAAGAGGTGCTGAGTACGGTGATTCTCGATGTGAATACGGTATGTCGCGACCGGGTGGATGCTGATCACGAGGATCAAGGTAAGGTATTGCCTTGCCGCGGTCAGAGGGATGATACCGTTCGTCACCGTCAGGAAAAGATGCCTTCGACGAAAGAGATTTGGGTGGAGGGTTAGACGTGGCATATTGCATCGTCGCTGAGGACGATCCAGAGGGCCGCGGAGCCGATGAACCGAGTGGCGGGTCGTCGTAAATGCTGGGGTCGACGGGGCTCGGACGGCTGCTCCTACGACGCTTCTCCTTGTCCCTGGCCTTGTCTGTTAGTTTCTTGGCCTTATCCTGGTCGTGATTCCGCTCTCGTTCGCGATCCTTGCTGCTAGAAGTGTCTTCGGCGTCGTCGTCCGCCCGTTCAGGGATGGTTTCAGTAATGGACGGTCGTATGCTTGTGCCTGATCCAGTCGATCTCATACTTGCGGTGCTGCCACGTCTGCCGAGGTTGCTGTACGGTTGCTTGGACGCTGCAGCATCTTCTGCCTGGGTGACGGTTGGCGTCCATACTTCGGGCATCGCTTTCGGGGGAGAGCGAGCGGCATTGCCGGAGGCAGAGCGTGAGGAAGACCGGCCTAAGGACGAATCCCATCGAGGTGCATCAGCAGAAGGATCAGCGGGGGGTCTGGAAGATCGCTGAGGTGGAGGTCGAACCATCTGTTCGGGTTCGTCAATAATTTCGGAAGGAGTGGTAGGGCTGTCGACCACAGTTGGCCGCTCAAGATTGGGACCGTATTGTCGGCGATGACTCGCAGGATACTCGTCGCGATCGCGAGACGCAGTGCTACGCGTGTCTGACCCCCTACGAGCACTCCGAGGCGTTGAAGGAAGGACTGGTGGTTTCTCGCGCTCTGCTCGACCCTGCGGCTGCTGGGGTAGCGGTGGCGGAGACGGTGGCGGCGGCGGCGCTTGTGGAGGAGGCGGTGGTTCAGAAGGCGGCGAGACGCTCGTAGGCCGATTGGAAGCATTTGGGCGCCTTTCTTCTGTGGGGCTTGCGCTGGCAGCATTGTCAGCGGTGTGCTTGATATTGTTCATGATACCGTGTTGCTCCTCCTGCAGAATCTGGAGCCATTCAGGCGACACAGGCGCCCCTGCAGTCCACCGACGTTGGTTTCGTTCACGATCGAGCTCCTGCTGATATTGTTCGTTGGCTAATTCTTTGATGTTACTCATCGCCTGCTTGTATTCATCCTCAAGACGCCCACGAGCCTCCACACTGACAGGTGCCTTCCTGAGCTCGGCTAGCTGGTTGTCCTTTGCTTCTTGCACCATGGATTGAAGGCCTTCCTCGATTCTCTTCTTCAGCTGAGCTTTCCACTCCTCATCTGGCTCGAAATCGGCGGCATCAGGTTTGCGCAAAGAAGGAAGTGATGACGGCGCATAGTGAGGGTGAGTTGACATCGAAATATGGTCGGACCCAAGATGATAGAAAGCGATGGAAGTGATCAAGTCGTCGCGGTGTCCAGAGAAGGCCAGGTGCCGATGGTAGAAGGGGAGGGGGATTTGGGAGGTTTAGGTCAGCCGATGTGAGCGAGGCCCCTCGCCGTAATCAGAACCGTTCACGGGAAAGCCCTGCATGCCTCATGTTCAATACGCGTGTTCTAGAAGATGTTTGAGCATACAATGGCAACTTACACGTCGTCTGTCCCCTAGGTCGGTGCAGGCACCAGAGATCACCTCGTCGCTGGTCGTCCGCAGAGGTCGCAGCGCGCGTCCTCGACAGTTGTTGATGGTTGTTGAACGAGGCCAGAGATTGCCATTTTCTGATCTCTCGGATCTTCTGGTCGGCGTTATCTAATCTTGAATGTGCCTCGCTTCTCGTTCTTAATCCGTACGTTCGACATACGAAAGCAATGAGGTTCTAAACCGCGTTCATGGTCGAATTGGCAAATCCCAAGCTGTCAAAACCAACACGGGCACGACCATCAGTTTTTGGACGTTTGCGTTCTCATACGGGCAAAACTATACAAAAAGTGTCGCTCACTGGGCATGATGGTTATCTCAGAAAAGAAACATTTTTAGAGTTGTCTTGATTTCGTCCAACCTTGAGTTTGACTTGAGGCTGGACATGGATCCCGGTGCGGAGATTCCGCGGCGACAACCGGTAGCGGATCGTGCACTGAATTTCGAGATGGAAGGAGAGCAGTATAAGTATTGCGCTTAGGCATCCTCAGGACAGATGAGGACAAAATTTTCCCTGATGCTACTGATTTTGCCTGCGTGCTCTTTCGTTGTATTGCCTGCGCCCGACTGGCAAGTACTCCTCTGGACGAGGCTAGAGATTGAAAGGCGGCCTGAGCTCGACGTCGACGATGAGGGGGTAATATTAGGCTGAGATCCAATTTTCAGCGCAAGGCTTACTGGAGAAGCATTCAACAATCTCGCGTGATTGCGGCGAATGCTCAGTGAATGCAATGAGGAGGAGAAGGGCCGATGAACTGCAGTGCTAACAGAAACCGACCTGGAATCTTCATTTAAACGGTACCCGAAATTGAACACCTTGATGAAATGGGAGTTGTTGAAAGTCATTGAAGCCTGGTAGGCAAGACAAAATCGGTCTAGTAAATAAGACGATTTATTTGTGCCTGTCCCATTGGATACATTGCAAGATTCCGAAAGGTCAAAGACTTGATGAAAACAAAAATGGGGAAATGTATTGAGGGAATAGTCATAAGACAGAGTGGCTGGCTTACCTTACCGTGTCGATGGTCAACAAACTTGCGTCGGCATGCAGAGCGACGTAGTCAAGGAGTAAGTCCATGAAAAAAAGTCCAGGTCAGCCATAGGCCAGGAAATTAAGATCAAAGGGACCCAGTAGTCTCCGTGCTTTCAGTGCGGCTAGGCTCGAGATTTGAGGGCGTTGACAAGGGTAGCAAGTCGAACAGTCGAGGGCAGATGGACAGTGATACCAGCAGACGGGGCATCCGCTAAAGAGCAAGCGAACGACCTAAAATAAAGAAACGAGAAACGTTCTGGTGGTCGTGCGTGCACTGGCCTAGTACGTTCCAGCGCCGGTAGACAATCCATATCTAAGCGCAGCTGAGCGAGACCTGTAAGACGAGCGAGGAATCAACAGAGCTGTGGTCTTTCCCTGAATAGCGCACGGCCTGGCGATCGAGAACACTGCGGATATGAAAGTTGTCATTCTCGAGCTTCTTTGTTTCCACTCTGTATTCCGATTTCATTCATCTCTTGAGTTGCCGTGTGCACCAGAGTCGAACTCGAGTCGCCAGAGACACCAGTGTCGAAATGGTACTGGATGAGAGCCAGTTAGAACGGAGAACATAATATCGGCAGGAGCAGGGAAGTTATCATCGATGAGAAGTCAGGTGCAAGTTCCAATATTGAGCAGGTCGCGCAGCACAAAGCCTTCTATGGCCACAAAAAGGAGTTGGGCAAAGGGTGCACCGACGCGTCCACCCGCGTGTTTTCAATCAACTGACAGCAACCAATCGCATGACGTCTTGCGATCATTGCCCGTGGGCCCTATAAACAAAGCTACCATCTCGTTACCCATGTTCATCGACGTCCCCGAAAAACGACTCACCCGTACGCTCTCAACAGCTATCCTGCACCGTCCCAAGTTCAATACCTCAACGTCCAGGGTATATTGTCGCTCCCAGCGGAACCATTACGGCGAAGCCCCGGGGAGGGCGTGTAATCTCCGGACTTCGTTGATTGTAGGGCCTATAATCAGCTTTCGGCACCCCGCCAGGAAGCACGAGGCATCCCGTTTTATTCCCAACGCAGTTCATCAACAACCAACTTGAAGAACCCGTTTGGTTTTGCTGTTATCGTGCTTTGCTCTCCCATTGTCGTTTCCTCCTCCCATCATGGCATCCCTTCATCGACCAACTGCTTCTTCTTCATCCCCCAACACTCGCGTTCGACGGCTATGGCAGACATTCGAGCTATCTGTTGCAAAAAGTCGTACCACCATGGAGCACAAGGTCAAGGCGGTAGTCGCCAAAGCCGACGCAGAATACAACAAGGCATCCCCGCACCACCGAATACCGCCCGCGGAGCACAAGGCACTGAAGGCAAAATTCGTCAAGGAGATCCAAGAGCCATACTTTGAGAAAGTCAGGTCCGAGTGGCATTCTAAGCTGCATGCCGCTGGGCTTCAGGTTGAAGATTGGACCGACATTACAGATGACGAGATGGTGGCGGTGTCGCGGGTTCTGGGAGACTTGGAGGATGAGAGTGATGAAGATTTGGTCGTCGTCCAGGCCCCCGCTCCTGTCACAGCAGCAGCGCCTATTCCACAACAATATTCCGCACCATCCCTCTACCCCACCGCACCTTCCATCTCAGCTTCAATGAGGTCCACCAACGTTTCAGTGGCGTCGAGTTATGCCTTTGTGAACCCGAGCGAGTTCCATTCCGAAGACGAGGATATTATGTTCATGCCGCCCAAGGTAAGCCAATTGGGCTTCATGTCGTTACACGTGCTGATGAAAATTTATAGGCGGCCTCGTACGAGCTACCCTCGGACGACGACGACGATCACATCGGGATACCTATCCCTCGTCGGCACAACGGCTTCGATGCTTGGAGTAGCGATTCCCATCCTTCTTCTCTCCAAAATTCCGTGGACAGCTCCGACTTCGCATTCTCCAGACCACCTGTCGCTCAATCCTCCCGTAATGCCTCCTCGAGTCGCATGACCTCGCATAGGCAGCAACTCGAGGCGCAAGCTGAGAAAGGGAAGACATCAGGTGGCAAGTCCAAGCACGCACGACAGTCTTATATCGGTCCACATGTGGATGACCCGGAGGACCCTTTGTCGGAGGAGGAAGACTTCGAGCGATTCAAAATGGAGATTTGTGCCCAAAAGATTATTGAATTCCACCAGGCGGCTGCCCTGGCTGACATCGAATTGGCGGTCGAGATCTACAAGGGTCGGAAAGCTGCAGGCGGCAAGAAGCACGAGGCGTCGCCGCTTGTTGTCGAGCATCAGAAGCGAATGGTGCAGGTGCAGATGGAGAAGGAGGAGGAACGGAAGGCGATTGTGAACACTGAACGTTCCAGGCGCAGGTCGGAACCCCGCCGACGACCAGGACGTTCATCGACCCTCGTCGCACCGATCCCAAGTGCGCCGGCCACTCCTAGTTGGCTACATGCTTTCCAGGAGCAAGTTCCTAACCGTCTTGAATTCGAATTTGATTTGGACCGTGTTTTGTCGGATGACCCAAACGAGCGCCACGGCAATATAGACCAGCTTCTGGAGCAGATGTTCCCAGGATCTTCGTCTACAGACAGTGCTCCATCTCACCCTCCCGAACGGCATGCCCTCTACCAGCCCTTCATCCCAGACCCGCCTCAACCTTTGGAAAGGAGCACGATATCTACCTCAAGCCAAGCGTCTTTCTCCTCGGCGAGCCAAGCGAGCCTGTCCCATGGCCAGCGCCAATCGACCGTGAAGAAACCGCATCGAAAGGTCAAACCTTCGCTATTTGGCGACGACGATAGTGATGACGAACATAGCAGTCCGCCTGGTGCAGAACAACCAATTAACCCTTTCGTGAACGATGAGGCTGACGCCTTCTTGACCAACCACTTAATGCAGCGACCAGACATCGCTTCCGCCTTTACGGAGTGGCCTGGAGCAGGAGGAATGTCGGCGGGTGCCTCGAATGGTTCAGCACTGAGTCTTCCTTGGGCAACAAAGCCACCAACCGAGTCAGACCCTACCCCTAACCCTTGGTCGTCGAAGGATGTCCGCGCTACTCCCGTCGCCAGCGGGTGGACGAAGAGGAAGCCTTCCATCTCCACCCCTCAGCCTCCGCGATTTTCCTTCAACAATCCCTTCGGGACACCCGAACAACCAGGAGCGCCATCCTTGTCCGCCACGGCCGCGTTTAGCTCATCGAATGCCAAAGGAAAGAAACCTGCTGCCGTTCCGACAGAGACTCCACGAGTTGCTGAAGAGCCTGCGAACAAGCAGTCTCCCTCAGTCTCTATCCCAGAGCCATCTGGCAGGGGTCTTGCTACCTCCGCGCCGCCCAGCGTTCTTCCCAAGGTCGAGAAGCCAGCTACAGTTGCTCCTCCGGCATCTGCTGGCAAGAAGTTGAACAAGAAGCAGCGTCAGGCGAACAAGAAGAATGCGACCGCTGCTTCAAGTGTTGAGGCTGCTGAAGCTGAGCCTGTGTCCACACCTGCACCTCCTGTCCCGCCTGTTACTACCAACCCAGCTTCGCCAAATGCACCAGCTCAAGGCCCGCAGCAGCGCACGTCGACTCTGCCGGAGTCCGCACCTCAGTCGTCGGAGACTATGTTCTCGATGTCAAAAGTGATTCCTGGCATGGCTCGTGTCCGAAGGGATTCGAATCTGGCGAACCCTCTTGCTGCCAGCGGCGGATGGGACGACGCTGTCTCGACTCCTCGAGCAGCTTCCAAGATCCCTTCTTATCTCCTGGAGTCGACGCCGTCTGTCAAGCCTGAAGCAACCCCTCGCCCGAATCTCTTCAAGATGTCCACAAACCGTCTTGATCAAATGGGACAAAATTCGACAATCAAAGGTTCGCAATGGGGAGCAGCTGCGACCGGAGCTCCTAGTCGTTCTGTTTGGGGCATTTTCGCGTCCGATGGGTCTGCCGCTCAGCAAGCACCTGTACAACCCGCTGGGACATCGCGTTCTGTCAGTCGTGATCCTTGGGTGCCTGGAGGGTTCGACGTCGATGATGGGGGCGGTGGCGACGGTGGTCGAGAAGAGGCGGAGCAGGAGACTGCTATGCAGCAGTTCTGGACCCCGCCTACTGAGTCTTCTCAAATAGGCAAGGCTGCTTCAGTCCCAGTTCAGCAGCGCCAGCAGGCCCTGCCTGCCCATCGTTTTCAGCGTATGAACCAATTGTCGGCATTGTCGGCCACGCCTCAGGTTGTCAACCCAAAGGCGACCATTCCTATGGTCCAAGCAACGGCTGCTCCGGCGAGTGCAAAGAAGGCCAAAGGCAAGAAGAATGCGAAGGGCAAGAAGACGACGATCGAGGAGGTTCAGGACGACGAAGATCAGGACATGAAGGGCGAAAGTTTGCCGGTAGATTCGAGATTTATCATGGAGCCAAAAATCCTCGAACCCAAACCCAGTGTACCCCCAACCATGTTTGACTCGATTATCAGCTACACAGACGCGGAGGATGAATCCGTGGCGTCGTCTTCTTCATTCGGCCCAATATCTTCGACCGCGGCGAGTTCGCCACCTGACATTTTCGAGAACGAGGCTCGCATGGCGGCCGCAATCAAGGAGCTCCAGGAAGGGACAATGAAAGGGGAACAGAAGTGGAACTCAGGCGGAATCCAGCAGCAGCAGAGTCACAGCGCTAGCGACATGGACACGTCGACCGCGACGTCGTTCTCTCTGAATGCGTTCGCAGGTCGGTCGTCTGCTCGACCAGCTATGGAGTCTGTTCGGCCGGCCATGCAACAGACGTCCATTTGGGGTCAGTTCAGTGTCAAAGACAAGGGAAAGGCTAGAACGACGGACCTCGGAGGCGAGGAGTTCCCGAAGGTTGCCAACTCCACAATCCAAAATCTAAAACGAAACAAAGCTGCTGGCGGAAAACTGTTTTGATGTATAGAAATCTCGTTGTATTTGTTGTTTTGTCGCACTTGCTTTCGCTCACCATAGACACTATCATACATATATCCCGTAATCTGTTGTAGCCGAGGTCAATCGTATTGTATAGTTTATGTGACTGGAATAAATCCTTACTTCTTGTGGGGTTAGTTGGATATCGTCGGAAGCTCTTGAGAGGGAGGCGGGACCCAAGAGCAACCTCTGAGGACTGTGGCCTCATTGTAAGTAGTCCAGAGCAACGTGGAGGCGGCTCCGTTGTGATAGACACCAATCGAAGATCACCGCCTTCATGCAATAGAGGTGCCACTAGGTGCCAGCTGCAAACCATGCGTGATTCAGGCCTCTTGGAAGCGCATATACACACGATAACGCTCACCTTCTAGCAGTACGAAGGCACCCGAACCAAATACGATCCGACAGCATGGCCCAGTTTTGTGGAATCGCCGCATCTGCTCCTACGACAAATTGACTTTAGCATTCGACACGGGATCGAGGCACATTTACGGGGAAACGTACTCAGAAACGCAGGTGCCCGACGCAGCAATGCCACTGATATCCGTTCCAGTAAGATATAAGTCAGAAGCCCTCCATGATAAAGCGATGTCGGCTATGGCGTTGCCCGATGATGTACGATGTTTTATAGCAGCCTCACCAAAGGTGACCATGATGTGGCGGAAGGCTTCCTGAAGATTGGGCTCCATGACATCGTCTTCTGAGCGGTGGCCTCGTCGAAAGAGCGGACCACGCCATGAGCCAAATGCACAATAGAGTATCGATATACCTTTGATCTTGAATTCCTCTAAGGGTGTGGCGCCCGAAATTCTTGTCCCAACTCCGTTTTCTGCAAGCTGGACCATCAAAAGTGAGTGCAGGGACAAAAAGATTCAAATATCCAAACCTGCGTAAATATATGCGGCATAACTAGCAAATCTAAGGAAATGCCAGTGTCAATGTGGGTATTGCTCAGCAACCTCTAACTTCGAAGCGTGGACCGATTGTTTGTCGCAGTTACGCGACGCGTCTGCTCACAGTGTATCACGTGACTGAACTTTTGGCGAGAACCTGGTTGAACCATTCTGAACCTCCAATTTGTCACTTGTGGGCGCGCCTGAGAGCTTGAGAACCGATAAAGACGACAGAGGCAGTCAGCTGTTGATTCGAAGGCTGTTCTCTGTGCCATGAGGCAAGCTGTCAATGGTAGCTGTTAACAGTTTACAGAAATGCGTGTCCGCAGTGCGCACTCGAGCACCTCAAGGTTTCAAAAGGTCCAAAGCCGGGGCAGTACTCGGGAGGATTTCATGAGATAAATTTGTCAGAGTAAATATTTTCACGAAATTAAGAACGGCCACCTGCAAGATGGACAGGGCGGAGGTTTAAGGGAGAACTCGGAGCGACGGAGAAGCATAGGGACACACAAGGGAGCCACCAGCCGTCGAAACTACATACGTAAGCTGTACAGAGCTTCATACCAGTCCTATCTAAGCGCCGAACCTTTGCCTTCCCCCATCTACCGTAATGACGGCATACTACCGTGCAGCAACAGCTATGCCTCTGCAGGACGCATGGAGCCGCTTCAAAGGCGCACATTATCGAGGCGAACTGGGATACATCCCCGCTAACGCTCCTGAGATCAGAAACCAGTGGCTGGAGACCGCCCGACAAATCTGGCTCGAGTTACTACGCTCGTACGCGAGATCGAGAGGAGAGACACACTGGCCAATTACTGAGGGTGAGACGATAGAGTTGGAGGATATATTGGGATGGAATTCGGCACAGATGTGGACAGCTCTCGAAGGGGCATCCGCTGCACGACGACCGGTGAGAGGCGCAATGATGACAATGTGCGAGAGCTGCCTGACACCCGTAAAGCGTCCTGGCACTGGGCCCCCGAACGCGCAAAGGAAAGTGGGGAAACAAGGCCATCAAGATAACTCAAGGACCGTGCAAGAACCCAAACGCGCCCCCAGTCAAGTCACAGATAGTGGTGCAGATAAAGCCGACCACAAAGTATCGTTCAAGTTTCTGACGGCGAGCATCATCCCGATCGCAATCCTAAAACCGTTCTACACGCCTGAAGACGAGGCATCGCCCGATTTGCGGTCTGTACGAGACTTTGCCTTTCATTTGGCGCAGGAGAAGATCCGAGAGTTCTACCTAGCCGCCATCGATTACAGCCAGCAATTTCAGAATCATCTGCGACGACTGAAGGACCCCGAGGCAGTCAAAGAGGCCAGTAAGAAATTCAAGGAGTGGCACAACAAGCAGGCAGACAAACTTTATGCGGAATGGACCACCTCTGTTAACGCCAGTTTGAAGAATCCGGGCGGCTACGAGTCAGATGGGCCCAGAGTTAACAGCGGGTCCGATGAAGAGATTCCTAACAGAACAACATCTCAAGAAGATAGTCTGTATACGTTCTCCGGTGCCAGACGGCAGAAGGTGGATGGGTTGTCGATGATCGACATCTTGAGACGGCAATCCCAGGTAGGTTTCGATTACCTTCAGCAAGGGCCTCGGAATTGAAGAATTGGATCAAGCCTTCATCGCGATCTTCTTGGAGCAGCTGGTCTTCAGGATCGAGTACTAGCGAGGCCAGTTCATCTTCTAGGACGATAGAGCACTGATCCTGACTGATAAGACAGGTTGCCCCGGGGCCAGACCACCCGACTCCAGCTCCAGCAGCATTGCCACCACCCCGTCTGAGGCGACAACGACAAGGCCCATATTTCTACCTTCGTCATTTTGCAGTCAAGCCTTATGAGATTATCAACTCCAATGGTGCATTGAGGTTGTCGAACAAAGGCCGCACTAACGTGAAGGCCTTGCTCCATCCTCCCACACCACCTCCCACACCACCACCTCTGAATGAGGAAGGATCTGCCCTTGTCACCGATGTCGACCCCACTCTGGGACTTGAATATACACCCGTGGAGGCCCCCTCTGCCTCTCCTCGGAAGGAAAGTCGCCTGGAACCGCCAAGAACAATGGCTCAAGATGAAATCCTGGATCTCGACGAACAAGGTAGCTCGATTTCTCCAATCCTGAGGGAAATTGAGTTGGCGTATGAAAGCGCAGTGCAGGAGAGGCGCTATCACGAGGAGCTGAACAACCTGCTCAGAACGCCGACCCCTCCGAGAAATCTGACGCTTTCTCCTCCAGCGGTGGCGGCGCCATCACAGTCAAAGACAGACGAATATGCGGAACGTCTCTCGCTCGCAGAGCAAGGAGGGGTTGAGGGGTGGCTCGGATCTGACTTCGTTAGGCGTCCGCAGGAAGCATACAGCTTGAACCCCTACAATAGCGACAGTGAATCCAGCATTTCCTCGGAAAGCGATCTGGATACCTACTTCTCACCAGAGATTCCCTCCGTTTCCAATGAAGGAAGGAGACCCGTTAATGGACGAGCGTCAAGGATGGCGCACTACCCTCCTGTCGCGATTCCTGTTCCAGCTTCACTGGCGACTCCACAGTTGCAGTCTTACAGTCCTCGTCGAGGCGCGTTGAGAGCATCCTCCCAACAACGAACGCCATCAAGGTCAGTCCATTGGGGTGGGGAGGAAGTGCGATACTTTCCGAGAGAGAATGATCAGAGGGGAGGGCGGAGGGATAAGTGAACGAGATCAGCATAAGCACATCGCTGGCGGAGGGACGGCATTCTTGAATACCCATGGGGGTGTTGGCCTTCGTGTGTATACCCGGATTTCTTGATCTATGTGGCTTGTAGGAGAGTCGAACTCGACGAGGCTTTGTACTTGTACCGCACTGAATGCAAATATATCAGCACCGAACGGCGTCTTTGGGGGGGGGAGGCGAGTGGGAAGGGCGAGGAGGCGAAAGTTAACAACTCACTTCAATTAGATGTGATTCAATCGTTGGAATAAGGTTTCAGGGTAGCAATTTACCCGGGAGATGTGTTCCGAAATGGCTACCTTCTGAGCTTGCACGTTGAGCGCAGCGTCTCCGAACCAAACACGACTTCGATGGACTGATAAGGGCGACAGTGAGCACAGCGCATGCACGAAAACACCAGAGCAAGCCTATGCCTTCACATTTCACATTAACGTGATATGAACGTGGGCAGAGATGCTTTCGCTTTCCAGAGACATGGCCAGAGATAGACTCTAGGGGACCAGATGCAGAGGCCTCAAGTTCCTGGGGAAACATGTAGGCGGTGAGGCTGGCCAGACACCCCAGTTGGCTGATGACAATGCCGCAACGTGTCCCCATAAGATTGAAAAGAGAACTTCGGAAAACAAAGGCAGCACCTCGTTTTCCGTGAATGCCATGAGGCTTGCCTAGAAGGCAGAAAAGTGTTGCCGTCTTCCAGACTTGGTTCATGGGTGTAAAATAGCTTACTCAAGTAGGTTTTTTGAGTGTCTCATGGAGTATTGAGGTGCAACGTTGTGCATACCCCTCCATGCTGAACGATACGATGAGGGTGTGGGGAGAGAGGAGTTCGGTATTTAGTCGATATAATTTTTCCGCTGATGAACTGGATTCCTCTTTAGGTCTAACCGCTTTTGATGCGCCGGCGCTGTTCGTGACTCATGTCACACCTCTCGCCTTCTCCTTACCGCGAAGTTTTTGTTGAGCTTTTGGTCTGTTTTGTTTTATGAGAAACTTAGTAGGAATTCTTCCAAATTCTTCTCAGGAATGTGCTCCTCAAATTCAGTCTCATTTCGAGAAGAACGCTGTTTTATCGTTTATGCCCTCCGAATCTATTTTCTTCCCGTACCTACCTTCTTCAATGTCGAGACATATATGCCATCATGACAACCTCAGTTGCGCCATACACCGCCCTATCGCCGCCCGCTGGGTATGTATAGACATCAATCACATTAAAATAGGTAGATCAAGCACACAACCCAATAGTAACTAACCACCAAATACTTTTTTTTGCACAAGACCTGGGAGAACCAAAACTATATATGTACCCACAACAACCCTAACACAACCCGGAGAAAGAAAAGGTATTAACAGCATGGATCCGTTCTAGCCGGCTGAATCATTCAAGAATCAAGATCATTTGCGAGTGAGGGTATCGACGTCCTTCCAGCCTTTGACAAGTGTGCGGCGCAAGCTGGCGAGTCCAGGCTCTACGCCAGTCTCGTTGGGCAGGCGGTACACGCTATCGTTATCTGTAAGCTCCTTGGCGTTGCGGCGGTCGGACGGCGCGAATGGCTGGTTGAGGGTGCTGAACAAGAAATCCGACGGGTTCGGGCACGGGTGCTAGAGGGGCGCCGAGTAAGAATAGATGATAAAGAGAGGAAAGAGGAATTTACCGCGGTGATCAAGTGCAGCTCGCGTTGGATCGTGATGCAAAAGTGGTCAAGGTCAAGATCGTTCAGGTCGTAGTTAAAAGGGTTTTCACTGTAAGGACCATGAGAATTGCTGGTCGGAAAAGAGAAAAAAAAGGACTGACATTTCCTGGCCAATTTCGAGGAATCCGAGAAGCAGGAACGAGGCGAAGGCGGTTCCGGGGATAGTGACATAGCCAAAGGCATTATAGATTTGAAACTATATAAAAAATTAACCAGCGTTGACGAGACATGAGAATCAACCCCTACAGGAAGGAATAAGAGGTAAAGCCTGACATTGATAGCTCAATCATGCAGTCAAGAAGTAAAAAAGTATGAGACGTACCAAAGAGACATGCGAAGATGGGCCTGGTAGGCGAAGGGTAAGGGAGTGTTGCAAATACGTTCCAAGTTGGAGACCGTGTCTTGAAGGACAGTCAAATTAGTGGTGACGCCGGTTGCGATAGCAGGTTGTAAGAGTCCATTGCGCATGCACCCTAATACCAGTTGGATTAATTGTTATCGCGAGAAGGTAGCCAGCTTACAAGCAGTATAGCTAAATAACGAGTCAGCGCTACGTCCCAAATGACTCGAATGAAGACTCACTTCGACAAGACAAGGATGATCTCCAAAGGTATGTGACTCTCGACGACGTCGGCATAGGCCTTCCTCTTTGTACGCCTAGCGGGGCGGGCACGAGCACGGCGCGATACAGCCCGAACAATCCATCGGAAGAGCCTGAACAGGGGGATGTAATCGAAGAGGGTCGTCTCAGGTGGGTTACGTGCTGGCTTCAACGGGCGTTCGCTAGCAACCTGAGGCAGGGCCTTCTCCGGGTCGAAGCCATCGTGGCGGGTGCCATGAGAGCTTGGGGAAGTCTCTCGTCCGAGCTCGGTGGCAGGGGTGTCGACTGGGCGGTGATCGTGCTCGTCATCATCGTGCCAGAGAGGGAGCTTCTCGCTATCCGGCCCCTTTTCGCCGTTTGCGTACCGAGGGAGGAAGGAAATCAATGGGTAGAGATCTTCATAATAGACACCGCGTTCACCCCGAAGGAAGTGCTTAAAGGTGGCGTGAGCGAAAACTGCCGGGGTACGAGCGCTTGCACATACCTTCACGCTGACAGCGTAGGCAAGAACCTGGTGATCGTAGGAGGTAAGGTGAGGGCCGAAGGACGAACGAAAGGTTTGACGTACCAGGTTTACCATCGACTTTTTCTCAATGACGTTTTGAAGTGTGGTGGTGTTCGCGGCAGTTCCTTTGCCGGTGCGATCGACAGGAACATGAACCCAGATCTATGAAGGTAACGCGCCTCAGGCCTCAACTCTCGCTAATGAAAGGGCAGAAGCTTGATCCCACCTGCTGAGCCAAGTTGCGCGAGGCGGTGATGATGTTGGTCCACATCTTCCGTCCATCTTGGTACCTGTAAGGAATGAGTGAGCCGCCGATATTATCAAGAGCACAGATACGCACCTCTCATATGCAGAAGACGTACGGAATGAGATGACCAAACCGAGCACCGTACCAAGAACAGTCAAGAGTTGATTGGAGATGCCGAGGTTCTTGTCAGCGAACCTATCTACCAAGACCACCACTGAGAAGGCTTAAGACCGAACCCAAGAAAAATAAACGCGCATAAGACTTACTCATGGCCACAAGCGAGAAAAAGAGGACCTCTGGCCAGATGTCGTTTATGACGGTGGCTTGGAACTTTTTGGCAGTCCATGTCCCACGGAACAGGGGATTCGACGAGACCATGTCCGCTTCGCAATCGTATGGTCGTTAATCAAAGAGTGGAAGGCGCTGATGTGCAAGGTAAGAAGCAGGGGAAAGGAGGCGAAGGAGCCCGTCTCCGTGAGGCTCTGTGTTTTGAGGAGGAAAACAAGTTCTGCCCCACTTACGGAACTTTTCACGCATCGTGCCCTCGGCGTGACCCTTCAAATTGACAAAAGCAACCGGCACATCCGCGCACGAAAGATCCGTGTTCAGCGCCGGCGCCCACGGCCGGCAGTGAGCGGTATTAAATTTATAGTGACCACAGATGATAATGATACTACACATGACATTCAGATATTCGGGTTGAGTATTGAACTCGAACATTAGCGAGAAATATTGCTTTTCAGATGGAGTGTCTGCCGAGAATGTAACCCAGACCGGATCAGCCGGTGGTGACAGAATTTGACAGGGTCGGAAGGTCTTGGAAGCCTTGGCGGTACTAATGGGCTTGGCGAGCAAGTCTATAAAAAGGTCAAAAAAGAAAAACATTCACGGCGAGCATCTCTGAAATTGACGCCCAAAAGCCTACTTCAAGTGTAACGAAAGTTTCGTACCTAGATTTCAAATGACCGCCTGCAGGTAAGGGCATCGCTGTGTCTACGAAGCAAAATTATGAGGACGCTGCAGTCACATCCGGGAGATTCCCAATCTTTGTCGTCCACGAAAATCTCAAATTTCTGCCTCGAATCCATGATGATTTACTGCCTCGAATCC